ATTTACCATTATCAAAATAATCTCCCCAGAGACCCCCAGACCAACCTGATACAGGTAATTCCTCCGTAAGACTCTCCTTCCCAAATGTCTTGGCTGTTTTTGTTTGCTTGTTTTGTTTTTTGTTAGCTTACATAAGCTAGAATTATCTGAGAAGAGAAATCTCAATTGGGAAAATGCTCCCATCATATTGCCTGTAGGCAAACCTGTAGGGTATTCTCTTGATTACTTCATGATTGACGTGGGAGCACCCAGGCCACTGCAGGCTGTGCCACCCTTGGGCAGGTGGTTTTACCTTGTATGAGAAAGCAGACTGAGCAAGCAAAGGAGAGCAAGACAATAAGGAGTGGTCCTCCTTGGCTTCTGCTTCAGCTCCTGCCTCTAGGTCCCTGTCTCGAGTTCCTGCCCCGACTTCCCTCGGCAATGGGGAGTGTGACCTGAGATTCTTAGTATGAAACAGACCCTCTCCTCCCTAGGCTATTTTTTGGTCATGGTGTTTTAGCACAGAGAGAAGCGTAACTGAGACACCTGGTGATTCCAAGTGTGTCAAATTGACAGTAAATGCCATACGCACTTAACACACGCTTACGGACTTGAGATTTACCCACATACACACAGTATGCATGTGGATCAGGGATTCTCTTCGTGGTCCTGAGGAGCTGGCACTCTCAGAGGCACCTGGGGGTTTGTGGAGATGCAGATTTGAAACTCCTCCCCAGACTTACTGAATCAGGGACCCTGGGGTCGGGGCACAGCGACCTGAATTTTAAAAGTCCTTCTGGATATTTCTGTGCTCCCTTGTATTGGAGAAGGACAAATGGCCAAGCTATGCTATAAAGATGACTGGCAGCCAAACTGATGGGTTCAACCGTTGTTTATCATACCTCTATCAAACTGTCAAGCAATACCAACAGTCCACAAGGCCCATTTGTTTTCCCAAGTCACAGGTTTTTCCTAAATTAGATATTTTTTAATGTCTTGTCTTCAAGAAAGGCTATTTTACCTGTGTGTGTTATCATCTGCGTGTGGTGCTCAGCTCCTTCTATTTGTTTGTGTGTGTATTTGAGTGTTTTGCCTACATGTGTGTCTATGTGTCACATGTGTGCCCGCCGCCCAAGAAAGTCAGAAGAGAATATCAGATAACCTGGAACTGGAGTTATTGATCACTATGAGCCATCAGGTGGGTGCTGGGAATTGAACCCAGGTCCTCTGAAAAGACGACAAGAGCTCTTAACCATTGAGCTATTTCTCAGCCCCCTAGGCTCAGCTCTTAACCAGCCTGTTTCAGTACAGCACTAAAGCATGAGAAAGTGATCAACATTTTCAATTCCACATCAACTGCTATTTATACTCCATAACATTTAACTTACGCTTCCTTGGGCCAAGAAATTTAAAAATGGTAAGTTAGATAACACTTATCTTAGTAATAACCTAAAGCCTTTCAAATGCTGTGAGAAATGGAGTATCCCTACATAGTGCTTGTGCCATCAGAATCAAATGTCATTTGCACACAAGGCTCCATCTGTGCTTGCTGTGTTAGGTGGGAAAGGCGAGCTGGCCTGGAAGCGTGGGCTCCTGACATGTGGTGCCCTTCACAGCCTGTGGTTTATAATGCAGCTGAAACATTAATAGATAGAGAGGCCAGGGATGCTGTTAGACTCCTGTTAGACCAAGCTTCCCAGCAAAATGGGGCCTGTTGCACCATGCAAAATCCCTGGTGATTAAACACTGCCCCAGACAACAATCTCAGGGCTTTTTTTTTCTAATGCCACTCATAGGTCATTTATGATGTACCTCTTTATTATTATGTCCTATTTGACCAATAAAAGTATGTGTTTATCACATATAATGTTTTTAAATAGATGTGCGTGGCAAGTTGGCTTTTTCTGATTACTATACGCATTACCTCATACCCTTTGGTTTATTTTGGAAAGAACACCTAAAATTGCCGCAGTGATGGTCTCATTTCCTTTGGTACCACATGGTAGGTTTAGTTTTGATTTTCTGCAGGCACTCTAAGCTATTTTCACAATAATATAAATCTACCTTTCTACCAATAGTGCGTAAGAGCCTGCTTTTTCCTCCATCTCTTCCAATATTCTTTGACCCTTTGGGCAACAGCCTAGCCCACGTGAGATGATGCCAACTGTGATTTTGATTATCATTTCCTCTCTGTTTAATCGAGGCGAGTACTTTTTATAAGCCTGTTGGTAATTTACATTTCTTCTTCCAGGAGCTATATCCTCATGGTCTTTGGCCATTTTCAACAGGGCTGCGTTTTCTTGCTAGTCACTCATTGGCATTCCTTATGTTTCCAAAACTGGTCATCTGAGAAGAGGGACCCTCACGGAGGAATTGCCTCCATCAGATTGGCTTGTAGACAAGCCCATGAAGCATGTTCAAGATTAGTGATTGATGTCAAAGGATCCAGCCCACTGTGGGTGGTGCCATCCTTTGGCAGGTGGTCCTGGGTTGTATAAGAAAGCAGTGTTTTCTTATATACTTACACAGCAAGCCAGAAAGAAGTGTTCCTCCATGGCCTCTGCTTCAATTCCTGCCTCCAGGTTTCTGCCTTGAGTTCCTACCCTGGCATCTCCTGATGGTGGCCTGAAACCTCTAAGATCTAACAAACCCTCTCCTCCCCAAATTGGTTTTAATCGGTGTTTTATCACAGCAACCAAAAGCAAATTAGGACATGGTCTTTCCTCGTGCAATACAACTTAGTATTTTTAAAATATTTACATTTGGATGTCAATGGAATTTTAAGGAGTTGCCTTGAATTTGTAGACTTCTTTGTGTGGTGTGGATATTTAAGAATCATTATTCTACCAACCCCTAGCCCCCAAATTACTTGCTAGTACATAAATATATTGTAAAAATAAAATCAATCATTCATTTCTTGCTATGTGTCTACATTACAAAGGTTTTGTCAGGGAAGGGACCAGCAGAAAGATGAAGGAGTTGGCAGTCCTGGGCAGCGCTCCCAAAGCTGGTTAGGACAAAAATGTCAGGTGATTCACCAAGTTACACACAAGACTACTTAGCCTTCTGTGAGCTGCCCAAGTGGCCTTCACTGTTAGATTCTCTCCCAAGCAACACGATCCCAACTGCCTAGTATCTTAAAAAATTGTAAACCACCTGCATTTTTATATTTTAATTATATTATTCCTTTTTTCCTTTTGATTTTTCTAGACAAGGTTTCTCTGTGTAACCCTGGCTATCCTGGAACTTGCTCTGTAGACCAGGCTAGATAACCTCAAAATGAAGATCCACGTGCCTCTGCCTCCCATGTTCTGGGATTAAAAACATGTGTTACCACCGCCTGGGTTATTCATTTATTTTTAATGGTGTGTATGTGTGTATGTGTGTTTGTTTACATACCTGCATGTGCACATGAGTACAGGTACTTAGGATGTCAAAGGTGTCAAATCTCCCTGAAATGAGTGGTACAAGCTGTTCTGAACTGCCTGGTGAGGGATTCTGGGGATTAAATTCAAGTTTTCTATAAGAGCAGTGTACTCTTTTTTTTTATTTTATTTTATTTTCTTTATTGAAAAGAAAAAAAATTCCTGCCTCCTTCCAGCCTCCCATTTCCCTCCTCCTCCTCCCGCCCCTCTCCCCCTCCCCCTACTCCTGTCCCCCTCCCTCTCCAGTCCGAACAGCAGTCAGGGTTCCCTGCCCTGTGAAAAGTCCAAGGTCCTTTCCCCTCCATCCAGGTCTAGGAAGGTGAACATCCAAACTGGCTAGGCTCCCACAAAGCCAGAACATGAAGTAGGAACAAAACCCCATGCCATTGTCCTTGGCTTCTCATCAGCCCTCATTGTCCGACATGTTCAGAGAGCAGTGTACTCTTTACGTTCTGAGACATCTTCCCAGCATGTGTATTTGCGTATCCTTGTTTATAAATGTACTGTGCTCCACGAGTGTCATAGGAGAATAGTAGTGAATGGAGTCTTCAAAAAAAGCTAAGTTGTCACAGCCCTAAAACCTGTGACTGTCACCGAGCACAGGGAAGACGGGGCTAGATGGGTGATCTGGGGAGAAGCAAAATTTCCTGTGGTGTGGAAAAACCCTGACTTCAGTCCCAGGCACCTTGTAAGAGCAAAGCAGAAAGGACAAGACTGGGAGGATACCGTGACCATAGCCACCTGCAGCCCCTGTGTACAAGAAAGGGGTATGGAGCAGACCTCCCCAGAGCATGCAGAGAGAGCAAGTTGGCCGCCACTGTGGCCATGAACTACTGGCCTGCAGAACATTGAGTGTCTAGATTTCTGTGTTAAACCTTGTGAAAACACACGTTTGGCTGCCCTAGAACACTCATACAGAGTCAAGCAGACTTGCTAGAAAAATCTCTAGTATAGTAGAAAGAAATCAAGCAATTCCAGCTTGGTTTGCATAAAAAGTACTGGATTTCTTTTCAGCCTTCTGGACAGTGATTAGGAAGCTGTTCTCTCCCACAGTGGCTCAAAGTTCACACCGGGCCTGAGACTATTGCACAAAGAATCCATATACAGACACACACACATTTGACACCATCCAACATCATAAGACCTCATGCCTGAAAAAAATACTTTGAAAACACTTTTCAAGGCACGAAGGAAATTGTTCAGTCAGTAAATTGCTGTCTGAGTTCAGTCCCCAGCACTCTTGTGAAAAGTCAGGCCTGGTGGTGCACACTTGTAATCTCAGCACTGGGGATGATGAGAAAGGAGCTTTCTGGGAGATCGCTGGCCAGAAAGAGTAGTCTAAGAGAGCCCGAGATCCCAGTAAGAGAGTCTGTCTCAGACAATAAAATGGATAATAAGGAATGATACTACAGGTGGACCTATGTCCTCACATGCACACACAAAAACACATATACAGACACACACACACTAACCCAAGTGTGCACATACACATGAAATCCTTTGGAACTCTAGGGAAGCAAGGTGAGAAAAAGAAAACTACTTCTGTTTTTGCGGCACATGATGCCAATAATACATCACCTGTCTGGTTTATTTCAGGCTCGGCTCACCAAAGAGCATCGCTGGGGCAGCGCTCTGCTCTCCAGGAACCATTCCTTAGAAGAGGAGTTTGAAAGAGCGAAAGCCGCAGTAGAGGTAACCCTGAAACCACGAAGTCTCCATTGCAGGGTCTGAGGGTGGCATCCAAGAAAGTTCAAACCACAGAGACGTGCAGGTGAAACGGAACTGCGGGCGTGAGAAAAACATGAGGACAGTTGTTGAGATGAGAGTCTGGCCAGGGAGCCTTTGATTCCCCACCAGGATGACAGGAGGCGTCTGCTCTTCTACTGTCTGTGATCAGTTGGCGATGTGAGTCTGAAGCCTAGATCAGAAAGCACTCTGAGGCTAGCCTAGGTTCCATGGATTTATCTAAGTGATAACCCATCTTACCCAGCACTGTTAATTCTTAGTACTAAGTGTCCAAATATTGTTAATGAGTTAAAAAAAAAAAACACCTTTATTTGAACAACAATGTCTAATTTAGTTTTCTAGTAGGAAGGGAGGGGGGAGAGATGGAAGACCCAAGGAATGCAAAGCAGTTCTTGCAGGTTCTTTTACCTGTTTCCCTCCCGGCAGGACTGGCCGGGTGGCTCGCGGATGTTGGGTGATTATCAGCGCTTCCATAGACTGCTGTTTGAAAAAGGAGCTTTTTCACAGACTCAAGCATGATCCTGTTAATACCTCTGTTGCCACTGGTGATTTCAATCTTGAGAACCGCAGGCGCTCTTGGAATATGCCTCACTTACATAGCCTTCTCACCCCTAGAATTCAGATGAAGTGATTATGTTAAGGGTGGTCTTCCAGTAACTCTGTACTCAGGGTGCGGGGAAATCCTATTTGCAATTTAATGTTAACCAGGTTCTGTTCTGGGAAATCATCTCAGCCATGATTCATAGCATTCAGAAACCCAGTAAGAGCACACTTTTATCTCCCCACGCCAAAAACGCTCAAATTCCCTCCTTAATTTTCGACTTCTCTAATTTAAAAAAAAAAAAGTTAATGAATATTTTAGTGCTCTGAGCAGGAGCCACTGATGTAGTTAGTCAAGACTAGCTGAGTTCAATCAGGTTGCTCAAATGCATGGAGCCTGTAGCTGAAATTACCTGAAATGTAAGCTTTTCAGTTTCAAGAGGTCATTTAAATCTATCTAGTGAGCTCCTGCTGTGTGTGGCACACAGCAGTAGCCTCTCAGACTGCTATTTAGACTCATAGAATCTTGGGTCACAAAAGGCATTAGCATTTGGTCTGTTATAATGAGAAAGATAATGAATTTAAACCCAAAAGACTCCATGGTGGAACTGATTGACAAGGAAAATGTACCTAGGTACATATTCATTGAAATGAATCTGAGTTTGGGTCATAATTTAAAACCTCTTCTATCCTACGAGAAAAACATTTTTTTTTAAACTCTTGACAAATTACTCCTGTTTCTACCTGGACAAATACAATTAGGGGCAAGCGCCCTCTTTTTCAAGAAAACCCATTTCTATCTTGAAAGCTACTAATTATTACCAGGCTCTTTCTTCTAATGAAATGACGCAACAGATAATAATTTCCATGCTGCCTGGTGCCGACTTCCCTCATTTCCATCCATCTCTCAACGATCCCCACCTCATCCCACCAAGCTGTGTCTCCTATTTTCTACTTTCTCTGTCTTTCCTGGGTCCTTGGTTCCAGTGCACCCCTCACATCTGCAGGACTGCATCATGCCCATAACCAGTCTAGACCTCGGTGCCCAACCTCCGCAGTTCTGAATCACAGATCTCAGGAGTCTCTAGGTTACTGTAGTAGATATTCATTTAACATTTGTTCCTGGCTGCCTACAAGTACTGGCTGCTGAACTAGGGGCTAAAGACAAAGACTCCAGCCTTAAACATCTGCATGAGCACAGCAGGCGGCAGAGGACCTTCTGCTACAGTTTCATGCTATCTATGAGATGGGGCTTGGATTTCTCCCATTCCAAAACCCAAAACGTTAATGCCTTAAAATGGAAAGAGTGTTAGGGACCAGATCCCCAGTTAGTCAGAAAAGTGAGCAACTTTCTCTAGTCTGGTGCTGAGAAGCCTTCTTAGGGAGAGTGGGTACCAGAGGGATGAATCTTGTAGAGATAAAAGGGGGAGTGTTTACGCTAAGAGGTAAATCGTGCCTCTAAGACTTTATGCATCTGTGAACTTTTCAATTCCACACGTCACCCTTTCTTAGAGTATTCTCTATATTTGTGGCAGAAAACACCACCTCATCCCTTCAGAGACTCCCCTTCTCCTAAATCTGTCACCTTGGGAGGGAGTTTAGCACACAAATCTTGGAGGAATACCCAGAGTGCAGCAGAGCTTGTGCGCCAAAATGTTCACAGTATTTATCCTTGGGTGGCGGCACTTGGGAGTAAATCACTTTATTCTGTTGTCTTATCTGCATTTTCTAGCCTGTCCTATTGCTAACCAGAGAGAGTCTGACAGTGAGATTAAGATTGTGAGTCACATTTTTATTTAGTGTGTGTGCATGCACGTGCAAATGCAAAGGTCATAGGACAGCTTGCCAGAGTCATTTATTTCTCTCCTTCCACCATGTGGGACCTGGGATTGAACTCAGGTCATCAGGTTTGATGGCAGGTGCCTTTACCCACTGAGTCATCTCACTAGCCCCAGATGTAAGATTCTTAAAGGAAACTGAGTATATCAGTTGATAAGCTGTGTCTACCTTACATTCAGGAGGCCCTGGGCTCTATTTCCAGTACTGCATAAACCAAATGCTGATATACCCATAATTTTAGTACTCAGGAGGTAGAGGCAGGAGAATCCAGGGTTCAAGATCCTCCTCAACTACATTGCACACTGGAGACTATATAAGATCCAGTCTCAAGAGAAAAGGTTTCCTGAAAGACTAATTGTGAATGAGTTATACTAGACTGGGAGAGGTTAGAGAGCCTAATGGGGGATGAAAATATGATCACAGCCCTTTTACATGGGTATGAGATTGTCAAAAATAAAAGGTAAAGCAAAATATATAAAAGAAAAAGTAGTGCTGCTGATTGTTTTTGAAAAGGCAGTTCTAAATACAAGTAAGATCCAGATGAAAAGAATATGTGGGTCAGTAGTTAAGACCATGTACCGCGCTTGTAGAGAACCCAAGTTCAGTTTCTAGCACCCACATTCGCTAGCTCACAACTGCCTATAACTCCAGCTCCAGGGGATTTGATGCCCTCTTCTGGCCTCCACGAGCACCTGCACTTGTCTAAACACAGCTCCCACACAGACACACACGCATACACATAATTAAGAAAGAAACTCAATGCCTTTCAACCTGGTCTGCCTCCACCTGATTGCTCTCCACCCGGTTCCTCTCTACCTGGTTCTTCGCCTCCTGCATCCCGTCTATCGTCTGCCTTCTGTCCCATCCCTGAGCTCAAACACACCAAACTCATTACCCATACTTCAACCTTCTTTTTCTGTGGGCACATTCTTCTCCCAGGTCCTCATGCAGTGGGGTCCTTCATGTTATTCTCACTGTAGCCAAGGTGGCAGTCCCCCAGATTAGCCATGCAGATCCCATTAACTGTTGCATCACCGGGGATAATCCCTGCCTCTTATTCATCACTGGGTCTGTCCTGTATAATTTTGACTGCCACATATCTTTTAACTTAAAAGTGTGCCTTCCATGAGAGAGAGAGAGAGAGAGAGAGAGAGAGAGAGAGAGAGAGAGAGAGAGAGCGAGCTTTCTCCTGGTCGTGTCTACGTGAAATAGAAACTATGCTCAGTGCTGCCCCATTGACTTGTATCCATACTTGTGACGTTCTTCATTGTCAACTTGATGCAACCTAGAGTCACCTAGGCACAGGGAACCTCAATTGAAGACTTGTCCAGATGAGGTTGGCCTATGGTCATATCTATAAGAGATTGTCTTGATTGGTGGTTGGCATGACAGGGCCTAGCCCACTGTGGGCAGTACCATCCCTAGGCAGGTGAGTCTGTGTAGGATATGAAAGCTAACTGAGCATGAGCCAAGAAGCAAACCAGCAACCAGTCCTGCCCTTTGGTTTCTGCTTCAAGCTCCAGCCTTGAGTTCCTGCCCTGACTTCCCACAGTGACGGACTGGTCACTTAGAATCAAAAGATGAAATAAACCCCCCTCTTTCTATAGCATTTTAGTCGTTTTGTTTATCACAGCATCAGAAAATAAACTAGAGTACAGTTTCCCAATATCTTCTGGAACAATTCCTGGTCCTTACTTATGCTGAGTGAAGGGCTGGTTGGGTGTTGGTTGTGGGTATACTTCTTTCTGTCCCTTTCCAGTTAGATATAAAGTGTCAAACAACCTTCTACTCTAAGTGTAGCTTCGTTTTGACATCATTCTTCCGTGACTCGTGGCCACTGAAGGACTGTGATGTATTGTCCACTGTGGTTGTCTCTACCTTCATATAGGTGACACATGTACAATAGCACTGGAAGTGCCGACCAATCACTCCATGATATAGCACTGGGCATATTTTATATTTGCATTGGATAAACTCACTTCTCCTTGTACCAAGACTTAAACCTGTGATTTAGCTCATTTTTAAGATAAAATGCCCTATTACTAGAGAAAAAAAAAACACTCTGAAAAGCAGGCACACATTTATTGCCTATGTAAATGACCTAGAAACCTGTTAATATTGAACAGCTAGCACTGTTTGAGGTCACCTTGAACTACTCCTTCTGGCAATGCTTCTTATGGGGGAGACTTTTCGCCCTCCATCTCTTACATTCTCCTGAAGAAAAAAAGAAAAACGCAAATTCACTTCTATCCAAAGTATAATAATTTTCAAACAAAGAGCTGGTATTTTTCTTCTGGGCTTTAAAAAAATATGCATCTTCCACTTTGTGAAAGAAAGAGGCCTCCACACTCCCTTCTGGATTTCTGCACAGCCATTCTCGTCACTGCTGTTAGCTGCAGAGAAGTTGCCCCAGGGGCTCTGGAAGGCCTGAAGCAGCCTCCTAGGAGCAGAGGTCCCTGGAGAGAATCCCTCTGCACCTGTGTAGGAGAGCGAAGGTCACCTGGGCAGCCAGCACTCCTCAGCAGGGAACCAAAAATACCTCCTTCGTCATCATCGTCATCATCGGC